CCCGGAAGCGAGCACCAGGGGCCCAGAAGGAGCAACTGAATGCAAACAGAGCCAGCTTGGGCCGAGGCCCACCCAGAGCCAGCCTCACCGCCAGCGGACTGTGAGGGCGGGAAGGCACAGGCCCACGCTGGGTCTGGGCCACCTACACAGGGGTGACCCTTGAGAGAAATAGGAGGACAAGGATAGACGAGAACCAGTTGGTTGGCACAGAAGATCCCTTGTGGTGTAATGGGTACATACTGGGCTGTAACCGCAAGGTCGTCAGTTTGAAACCACCAGCCGCTCTTTGGAAGGAAGATGAGGCTCGGCGACCCACAGGGGCATTCTGTACTGTCCTATTGAGTCACTGTGAGTCAGAATCTACTCGATGGCAGGGGGTTGTTGTGTGTGTGTGTGTGTGTGTCAGGTTGGCAGTTAGAGGTCTTGAGCTCTAAACAAGATTAATTGGGGCTCCCATAGCACCAACCCTGGATCCTTTGAGGGCCCGACTGCTGGTGTGCTGGCTGAACCACTTAATGGTGGGCTTAGGCAGCACCCAGAAGCTCACTCTTTATCACCCTAAAACAGCTGTTGGGTCTTTTTCATTGGTCTGCCTTCCGCAGAGAGAACCAGGGTTCCGGGGTCCCCGTGTCGGGCCCCAACCTGTCAACCACCCGGCCAATCCAGCAGGACCTGGGCCGCCAAGACCCTCCGCTGGCCGAGGACATCGACAACATGAAGAACAACAAGCTGGCCACCGCGGAGTCCGCCAACCCCCGCGACAGCCTGGGCCACACCGGCCTGCCCCAGAGCCCAGCCAAGATGGGCAACAGCACCGACCCTGGGCCCACGCCGGCCCCACCCGCCACGGCCACCAACCCCCAGAATGCCGCCAGCCGCCGGACACCCAACAACCCGGGGAACCCGTCCAACCCTGGTCCCCCCAAAAACCCCGAGAACAGCCTTATCGTCACCAACCCCAGCAGCGCCCAAACCAGCTCAGCTAAGACTGCCAGGAAGCCTGACCACACTGCGGTGGACATCCCCCCCGCCTGCCCAGCCCCCCTCAACCACACTGTCGTCCAAGGTGAGACTCCCACACACACACCCTTGCACACAGCCAGGTGGGCAGGGACTCCACACCTCTGGAGCCAGACTATGTGGGCTCAGAGGCAGGTGGGGCCAGTCAGGGGAGAGGCAACTCATGGTGGGAGGAGGGTGGGACGGACACCTGCACTCAGACTGTGGAGGAACTCGCTGCTTCCCTCTGTAAAGTGGGTCTATTGGAACTCGCTCCACCTGTCCCCAAGCGACAGGTGAAGGTCACCTGGGATGGAGGAGGATCTGTGACTCCCACAGGCTCCGCCACTTCCTGGCCGTGAGACCTTGAGAAAGTCACTTTCCCTCTCGGCGGCTCCATTGCCACCTCTGCATCCTGGAAGCAACAAAAGTACCAAGCTCAGTGGGTCCTGTGACCATCCGACGACGTAATAGGATGCCTGGCACATAGTAGGGGATGGGGTGTGGGCGGGCGCTCAGGGGCTTGTGGGAAATCGCAGAGGAGGACCTCTGGGTTGGTTCCTGTCCCCACAGTGAACAAAAACGCCAACCCAGACCCACTGCCAAAAAAGGAGGAAGAGAAGAAGGAGGAGGAGGAAGATGACCCTGGAGAAGACGGCCCCAAGCCCATGCCCCCCTACAGCTCCATGTTTATCCTCTCCACCACCAACCCGTGAGTGTGACCTGGGGCCAGGGCCCGGGGCTCCTGCTGCAGTGGGGGAGGCAGGCCAGGCAAAACCATCATCAGATCCTAGGGGACCTTGGAGAGAGTTAGACAAAGACACCCCTTCCTCATCAGATGGAAAACGGGATGCCCTGAGTTGGTAGGAAAAGACCCCTTCCTGGCAACAGCAAAAAAAAGAAAAAGTCGTGGTCCCAAATCTATGCTGCCTGTACTGTGGGCGGCACGCCTTAAAAATGGCCACCTTGGGCGATATGCAACCGGCACAGCTGTGCAGGGCAGCCCGGGGGCCCCAGGATCCCTGTCCCTGCGGCCGTTCTCAGGGCTCTGCATTCTGGGCAGCTCCTCTCTGAGTCCCTGGCTGTCTGTGGGGAGCCCCCTGAGCCAGGGGTGTTGGATTCCAGGAGAATTTGCCCCATGTGTCCTCGGAGGCTGTTTCACGGTTGGGTTTTACCAGGAGTGTTTCTTGAAGCCCTGGGTCCTCAAAATTCTTCCAGGGCAAAGAGCACTTGAACGAAATAAGCTTCCCTCTCACCTGCCTCTTGGAAGAAGCGGGCGCTGTGCCTTTGCTATTTCAGCTCGTTGACTTCTTTTGTTAGAGAAGCCCTTCTCTGGCACGCCAGGAGCCCCGGTGGCGTGGTGGTTACACATTGGGCTGCTCACTGCAAGGTCAACGGCTCAAAACCACCAGCTGCTCCCAGGGAGCAAGAAGGGACTTTCTGACTCCCATAAAAAGTTAGTCTCTGAAACCCACAGGGGCAGGTCTACCCTGTCCTATGGGGTCACCGTGAGTCAGAATCAACTCGTTGGCAATGAGTGAGGAGTACGGACCCTTCAAAGCCCCCTCATTTTTTCCAGGGACAGGGGGCGGTCTTTTTTTAAGCCCCTTTTTTTAATCCCCACATCCTTGTGAGGCAAGCTGTGTTCTCTTAGCCTTTTC